ATTTCAATGGCATGTGAATAGATGGATGATTAGAAAACAGTAATTATTTCCTTAAAAACATTTTATAATAAATACCTTAAAAATTTTTCGATAATAAATTGAAAATTCTTATTGTGAGCCTTGACTTATAATTTTGAATGAGAGAAGGGAAAAACTTTTTTCGGTTTTTTGTCCTCAATTTTATTTTCAATATTCCAATATATCCCATCAAATCACCTTTATCCTTCGCCCTAAACCTATGACCTCCTATCCTACAGTATCCTTTAATAATACCGCACTTATCCCTGTTTAACAAATCCGATACCTTGGCTCCACTTGGACAATCGTCTAACTTGGAATCCTCATACCAGACTGAAACCGCAAGAAACCGCTCGACGTTTCCGACTGCTACAGCACTTACTAAACAAACCCTCTAAACTTCCAGTTAATTACAAAAGACTGAGTAAAAATTATTATACTGCTCATCGACAGCCTAGCTTTTCCAAGATAACACCCAAAAAAAAAACCGGTTTCATGAATGATAATATTGTGTAAATATTATTTTGATAGTTGGCTTTCCGTCCAAGTAAATTACGTTTCTAAAGTAATGCTCAGCATCGCCTGAATTTCACAATACCAAATGTCGTTTCGAAACCAAAATAGAAAGACAAAGAAAAAGATATTATAAAACACATAAAGGAGAACAATCTGATTGAAATAATTACAAGAGATGAGTTCCATTACTAAACAGGTTGCAACTATACTTCTTTGTAGGCCGGTAACCGAACATTTTTCTAAATTAAAAAACAGTCACCCAGATTTAAAAAAAAAAATTTAGTTGAAAATAAATAATAAATTAATTAAAATAATTATAGCTTCCAAAGATAATTAAAAATCATAATTAAAATAAGAAGCTGGGGACGGATATCGTGATTCACTGAAAGAGTTATCTCTAACTAATCAAGGCAATAAAACTCTATTATTATTACAATAATTACAAACTGACTACGGGCCTAGGAACTCCGTTTTCTGTTCGTCGCAGAAGAATAAACATTATTTTATATAATTTCTCATACAAGAAAAAAATATTTTATTTCATTCGAACAATTCGTTATATTATTGTTTTCTGCCTTTGCTTTCCATGGATTTCGAGGTTACTGTATACCAATTGATTTATTTTTTTTGTGTGTAACATAAGTAAGTATATATATTCAACTATATTTATACATTATTTCTAAAAGGTGTTTTTTTGTCGGTATAAAAAAAAAATATATATATATATATCTAATAATAAAGTAATAAATATATACGGTATTGATTTATGTGGGTTCGTTTATAACGGAAAGACACATTCTATAAGCCATTTTATCGACTGGTAATAAAAGTCTCTCAATCCTGAAAGTGTGCTGTAATACTCGAAGACCTCAGACATACATTGCAGTGCGTTTCAGTACTCGTAATAAAATGAATATTCGCCCATAAAATGACAATTGCTAAAAATAAAAGAACTGAAGAGCCTGGCTAATATTGTAGAAACCCCTTTCCATTTTTCACTTAGCAACCTCGATAGCAGGTAATTTCGCGAGGCCCTTTCCCTCTACGAGGAAAAAAAAAAATAATGTCGTGCTCAGAGAAAGGCACAACCTGCAATTGTTTATTTCGGATATAAATTACTTAATTTAGCTTTTCTAAGGCGCTCTTCATGATAAAACGTAATATTATATTCATGGACGTCTTCGTTCCCATCGTTTTTGCCGCATTTATAACAGAATCAAGTATACAACTGAATAAATGCATTATAATTACTATATGAAATTTAATTTAAGTAAATTGCGGCGAATGAAAAAAACAACAAAAGGCAATGAAACTTTGGAATGAAAACTTTTACGTTAGTATCAGATTAACAATCACATATAATAATTACTTATTAATAGTTAATTAAAGAAAAAGAATGAAATTTTATCAACACAATATGTAATGCGGCAGTACAGATCCCTTTTTCGGCTTTCAGAGGCGATGGATTTCACGAAAGAGTGAAATCTCTATTTCAAAATACAAAATTAAAACCACCTCACTTGGGAAGAAATTGAAACGTTTCAAAACTGAAATGGTTTCGAAAGTCGACTGATCGAGATGGGATAAAGTGTATTTTAAAGAATTCGAGGCGATCATCGAAACTAGTACTTTTATTTATAACTAACTATACTGTAACTGGACAGTGGTTCCTGTTTTTTAATGGCCCAAAACGTATCAGATTAAACGTAACCGAGATAAATTGTAATATACAATGCCTCGTAGGTGCAGTGGATGCCATGGGATACCTCTCTCTATTATATAAAAACATCGTTAGTAAATTCCATATTTTATTTTAGTATTAGAAGAGTAGGAGTTAACAGGATCTCAACTTGACGATTATTGCACAAATCAAACAGCTTTTCATTCAATTAACGATACGATGGTGAAGATAGCACCCGATTAAATTAGAAATTGAGAAGACTGTAAGAATTTTGTTGTGTTGTGAAATTTATGAAATATGTATGAACTACCAAATAAATAAATTAACAATAAACTTGTTTTTTTGGAGTGTTGGATAAGAGGTGTGTTATATGTCCCCATGTGATTCATGTTTTTTCCGTCCTGATGATGTCTGAATTGTTTTTATCCGAAACATTTACGAGTTTGTTTGTTTTAACTACAGTTTAGCGTGGTTGATTTTTTCCAATCATGACCTAAAATTCCATATATATTTTTTCCTTTTAAATGCTTGAAAACCGAACGGTATATAAGCTTCTTTTTGACCTAAGACACAGAAAAAGTAGAACCACAATTGCTCATTTTAAAAAATAAAAATGTTAGAGCCTCAATAGAAAAACAAAAAAAAAAGAATAGAATATACTAAAATAAACTATTACAAAAATTATAGTTATCTTGATTACAACAATTTAAAAAACTAAATCTAAGAGAAATTCTTAATTTGTAATTTTATAAGCGAAAAAATGCGAAAAAGGCGCCTTCTATTCTGAAATTTAAAACTTAGAATTTACTAAACTTTTACCTTTCCAACGGTTCTTTAAAGGTAAAAACGTGGATATTTACATTGAGGTTTGAGCAACGCCTTAAGGCTGGCTGCTGTATATAAAATATTAGGTAAATCATGTGGAACGAATGTCGAATCAATTGGACAATATAGGTGGCTACACAGCGCCGAATGTTATGAACTAGAGAGCAGAGTACCCTCGGTAAATATAGTTGAGATATAATGGATGTAATAAAGTCGAGATAAATTTTAGGAATGAGTCCCTAAAATGTAAGTGACCAAAGGGTAGACCGAAGCGAATGTGGGAGGATTCCGTTAAGGATAATTTTGCAGATTTGAATTTGGATGGCGGTGGAACATTCCCGCAATCGAACATTCCGGTTCGCTAAGCCTTTTATTATTACAACCATTTATCTCGTCCACAAACAGATGACAACCCAAGAGCTCATTCACACGGGCTAAGTTAAAACTAACATCTTTTTAATCATTACTCTTTCATTTTATTTTAAAAACTATTTACAAGCATATATATACAACTAGTATATAATATATATAAATACAACAAGTAAATATGAACAAGTAACATGACATGTACAACATGAAGAGAAACTACCCATTAGTAGCACTCCAATTATATTTCTATATTAAAAGGACCCGAGGCCATCTTCTTTTCAGACGCCTCGGAGAGTTATCAAGAATAGAAGAGGAAGCAAGGTTGGAAACAAGAGGGTTTGGGTGGTTCAGAAATTTATTATGAAAGGACAGGTATCTGGATTGAGCTAAATCGGAAACATGTGGTACATTAAGGCCATTATGGTTTATTTTATTTGTGACAAAGTAAGGAGCATTAAGGATTTTACGAAGGATTTTGGATTATAGGGATTGGATAGGAGAGGAATTTGATGGTTTAGTAGAGCCCCAAAGCTCGATCCCGTAAGTCCAAATAGGCCTTATTATAGTAATATATATATAAGTCTTTTGTAAATAGTTGGAAGTTTAGGGCGTTTGTCTAGTAAGTGCTGGAGTAGTCGGTAACGTCGGGCGGTTTCTAGTCGTTTCAGTCTAGTATGTTGGTTCCAAGTGAGTAGTTTATCAAGGTGGAGTCCTAGGTATCGGATTTGTTCAACAGGGATCAGTGGGGTATTGTTAAAGGATAATGTAGGACAGGAAGTCATAGGTTTACGTCGAAGTAAATATACTTTAAATGAAAATTTTAGTGCCAAAAGGTAAATGTGTGATAATCTGTTATATTTTATCACCTGGTTTTTCCAGCATGTCTATGTTCTAGAAATGATCTACAGCATGATTTGCTGCTTGGTTTAATGTCGACTAATACAGACCAAGGCATCACGAGATATTTATTATTAAGTTTTTATTTTGTTTTATCAATTTATACTTTTAAGAATAATTTATATGATAACAAGGACATCGTGACTCCACGTGTCGTTATTAAAATAGTTGACATTTTCTGAATATAATAAAAAGCAAATGATGTATGATTTAAAATTTAAATAACAGATGGAAAAACTGACCTCGAAACGTCACTACTAAATAAAAAACAATAGCTAAAAAATATGCAGTATCCATTAGTTATGAAGATAATCATTAAATTGGAAGAAAAAGAATTCTAATGCATTTATTATTATTGTTAATTTTTTTTTCTAGTTTCTGGGAACAAGTTTTTAATTACAATAACTAACTAAAATAATTATTTATTCTTATGCAATTTAAATGACTTCAATAACATTAGCTGGTACTTCGACGCATTAATATTAATTTTTATCATGAAAAGAAAATAATACCTTAATCGAGTTGGAAAAAAATTGAATAAATAAAAATACTCAATGAGGTATTGAATTAGAGGGTGGCAAGGGGGAGCCGAAGTTGAGGAAATTAGGAGTTACAGGTGTGAACTGATGACATCCCTGATTTGACGAATAGATTTAATGATATACCGATCGAGCCTTCTGCTTCGTCGAGGCTAATGATGATTTCTACGAGCTTTCTTTTTAATTCAAGGCAAGGATCTTCAAATTACCGGTAATCAACACCCAGGAAGACAGCGAATCTCAAAGGCTTAATAGAGGGACCATACCCTTATAGGAATCGACAGGAGAGCGAAATTTATTTAATATATCGGGGAAGATGATGTAAGACTGAGACATTTAGTTAATGTTTATTATAACCTTTATGGACTTGTGGAATAAAGCTAAGGGACACTGAAAAAACCTCTAACTTTCTTAAAATTAAAACATTTTAATAAAAAGTTTCGAGAAAAATAACAAACACACCGTTCTATGTGACAAACGTCAAAGACTTCGACATCCAAATGATTTCAAAAACTTCACGACAGTACTGTAAAAACTTCTACCAGAAATTGATTCAGAAAACAAACCTTTTAGCCCAAACAGTCAATTCCACCATGAACTTATACATTACACCTCGACGAGGTTTGAGGCGGTGGCCCAGATGTTTTCTTACCTTATTGTGCCCAACAAATATGTAATTGTACAGATTTGCTTATTACAAAAACTTTGCAGTTGGCAAATTTCTATCCTGCCTAACATATACACTTGTTTAAATAAATTTAAAAAAATAATAATAATAATTGGACTATACTAACTACCTATAAATTATTGAGAGAAAAGAATATACAAACAAAATATGTTCCATGAGGATATTCTTGTTCAACATATTAACAGGCTTAATATTGTTATTACATTTTTTTTTTTTTTTTTGGACAGGAAGTACAAATCTTTCAACGGCTCTTGTAAAGTATCGCATTTACCCGTTATCTTCCCAAGCAAAGTGAGAAGAAAGGTGTACTAAAGTACTAAGAGGACAACAGTTAAGCCGTAAATACATAAATTAGGAGGCGGATCCAAGACACCACACCTGCCATCGCCGAAGATCGGTGCAGGCCTGCCAACTGCGACAAGGACCTTTCACCCAGGCAAGAGAAGGGCCGGAGAAAGGACCTCTCTCTGCAATTACCCAACGAACAAGGAGTCCCCTACCTTTACGTAAGTCTTGTCTTCGGCAACGCCAGATCCCCATCCTTCCGAAGAACGGTCGGGTCGATCCTGAAGCTGATGGATGGTCACGAGGAGTCCGTCACGTATGGAATAGCAATTTAAACTATCTGCGTATATAAAACAGTATAAGCAGTAAAATTAAAAGTAACTTTCTTTTAAGAGACAGAATATAGGATAGCAAGTGGTAATCCTATTAGAAACGTTTGCTGACTAGTAGAAATGTAATACGTAGATATTTTAAATAGGACCAACAAAAGAAGATGGTATTCATATCTACTGGAGAAAAATGGATGAACCCAAAAAAAAATCACTCATGTACACGTTACTTCATTCTGGTAACTTATAAGGCGGGATGAAACGTTGCAAACACAAACAGTATAGTCTTGATACAAAAAAAAATTGTTCTGAACTAATTTATTTTATAAAGAAATAAACACTAATGAAAAAAAAAAAAAAAAAACAGAAGCGCAAATATATGTTGTGTTCTCAAGCAATTCCGACGTTTATGTGGAGTTGTCCGCAAGATCCCTTTGACTTCTACTCAAACATCGACAGTTGCTCGGATCGGCCATCAACATTGAAAAGTCGAGAAAAATTTTCTATTTACTTAATATTATTCGAGGAAGGAGATGGTCCAGGATGGCGGTCATAAAAAGATTAAAATAGTGGAAAAAACTATTTTATTTAAAGCCAACGTTTCGACCCGACTTTGTAGGTCTACTGGAGGGTTTATGCAGCAAGGATTTTCAGTTGTAACTGGGGACGCCACCCCGGACCATCCCTTCCTCTAAAATATACAACGGCCAACCATTAAGTATTTAATATTGTTAGGTTTGAATAATAATTAAACGCACTTTAACGCTCTACTCAATCTATCTTAAGAAGTTGAGGGAATAAAGTTTTATTTTGTACAAATCTTCCATTTCTTTATTATTTATACATAGATTACTTATAAGTTTTATACATCAATTCTTGTTAAATAAGAGTATCCCTCTTATTTTTTTTAAATCCACATATTCTATCTTATTGTGGTTTGCAATACTATAGAAAGCTTTATTCTGAAGCAAGGAAGTATTGTAACATATCTGAATTCCCAATCGGTAAAACCACATATTAAAGGCAAATTAAATTACTACCAGCAGATGGACTTTGAGTGGCATTATTTACGGGAAAAAGTAATAACAGCATTAATGTGTTCTAGAAAACAATTTGACTCTAAGTGAGAGGATTTACACTTTTGTAAGATGTGTTGTTTCCCTACAAGATATAGATCTAAATTACTTTGTAAGGTGCTAATACTAGCTGTAATGCCAATTACAAATCTTATAGTATCCTGTAATCTTCAAGTTATCCAATAGGTATTTCCTAATCTTAGCCTAAAATAATTCAGGTCGAGTCGAGGGATTGATAATGTAGTAATTGGACAAGCCCTCTAGGATCCGAAGCTCCTCTCAACAGTGCTATCGCTACATCTAATAAGGTCTGTTCATATTCGCAATTATAGATAGCTGTGCTACATAGTACATTGTGATTCTAACGATAATGGAGGTGCGTAACAAGAATATTAGGCCGTGCGATGAGTTCTACTTCCTCAACAGCCTAATGTAGAACGAGAATGATAATCGGTCCTCTTATGGTCCCGCTTAATTTTAAAGTCTTGAATCTTTAAAGGTATCGTCGTAGAACCTCTTCTGTTAGATTTTCAATGATAAATAATAAAATCATCATGAATATAAGGAAGAAAACAATGTTAATTATAATCAGCGCCGAGAAGCTTCGTAACTAATCATAGTAATCACGGTGGCAGTGGCTCGTATGACAGAGACAAAAGATTAATGAGGCATTGGCTGCAGAGTGAAGAACAAAAGCCAGGACGACCTCGACGGCGTCTGATGAGACCATTGTCTAGCTCCACTGATCGCTCTCTTACAGGTCGGAGGGTCTGCATCCACCGAGGAATCTCAGCACTTCATAACTTGTTTAAGCCTTACTTCTTAAAGACTTCAATATAATTTAAACATAAGAGGAAGTTATATTGATTAATTAGAACCATCAGGAATAATTTGATTTGACTAATACATGAAGATATCAAAAAGGGTAGAGAAATAGGAGAGAGATATCGATAAACAATTACTGAAAATTCTAAACAAACGCCTTCTTCTTGAATTTTATCGAGTCTATATTAATATTATAATTAATTCAAAAAATAATTTATTAATATTACTTTAATATTATAATAGAAGAAATAGTGATGAAAAATAATGTTACAACTAAACCTAAAGCGGTCTTGTCTACCAGATTTTACTTTTTATCATCTAAATTTTTAAAACAAAATATAACATACGTTATACAATAATTATATAATATTTTTGTTGAATACATTATATTCAAAAATTTAGTATTTCAGTGGTGAATTTAATATTACCACGGCCTATTGTGGAATTTAATAAATTAAGAAATTCGTGGCCACTTATCTGGATAAAGTTGTAAAATCAAATAACCCGAAAATGGTAGATTAATCAATTAGAAGTCTGACAAGATCATTCTGTACTTCATGACGCGAAAATTGTAGCTAATTTAGAAATTATTGATAAAAGCAAATTGATTAATTCAATTTGCAGTACATTCTTTTAGATTATATACATTTACTTTTAGTATTATTATTTTGCTTTTGTTTATTGTTGCAATTTTTATTTATTCTGCATAGTGTGGATGAGCCTCTCTTCTATCACTATCGTCCTTAGATGTGACAGATTGTAATATTTCTCAATAAATAAATTGAGAAAAAAAATGCAGTACAAGGGTCCCCAGACATTAGTGACGACAAGACAACATTTTTTGAATATTTTTTTTTTAGTTCAGAGTATAAATGTAAATCATGGCGATTTTAGTTTTAAACTATAAATAATTATAGACTGATTGTCATGCTTTTACTTATCGTAGACGATAAACTAATACCTATATTTATTGAAAACATAACGCATTTGTTCGTTGTTATATTGAATTTATTACATCCGTAATTCCGTATTGCAATATATCGAACCTCTCGTCGTACCAGGACAGTTCCCAGGCTGTTGACCATCGTTCGATCTTCGAGGAACTCGACACAGAAGAAAATTTCCCAGAGGACGGACGACATTCTTCGTTCGAAAGAAAAGTGATGTTTAAGTGCCATTTGCTGTAAGTGTTCACGCCGGAAAGGAGAGGATTGTACATAACTTGCACGCGATAAAAGTTTATTGCCCATTAACGTTATACAACAGTATTTGGATTCGACAAAGTGAACATTGTGGTCGGCTAAGTTATTTCATAGAATAATTGATATTTCTTAAGTTATAAATGAAGCTTTTGATGTAATTAAATTGTTCATAAATAAGAAAAGAAACAATCACCTATAAACATAATTTTCCTGTGTTAGTTAATTGCACGGGTGGATCTACGGGAGGGAAGGGGGCTTTGGGGTTGAACCCCCCCCCCAAAATGGTAAAATATAACCATTTTTTATGAAAAAAAATTTAAAAAATGATCTCTTAAAGTATTATTATTCCTGTAATTACATTTAAAAGGACTTTAGGAATCACTTAAACACCATTTCATATAGGTAGTTAGTTTCTTTCTTTTTTTCCAAATTAATTATCGTTATTTTTATATTATAAAAAAATTCGGGCTGAAGCCCCTCCCCCCAAAATTAAATCCTGGATCCGCTAGTGGTTAGTAGAGTTGTAAACTCTAACCAGAGCAATAAAGTAAATTTATTTATATAGCCTGAGGGATTATTTCATAATAAATTCTGTTGGCTTGCATGCCACGATCTGATAAGGGAATCCGATAACAATTAGTAATGATTCAGCTTCAATGATTGTTTCAAACATCAGCACACTTTTTGTTTTTATATTCTAGCTATTCAAACTACATCAATGAAACGAGATTATGAAATATTTCCAAAAATATTTCTTATCATAGGCTTAGGGTTTTCATTGTGGTTAGAGAGGGAGGCGATTATTTCATTCATACAAATCATGAGAGATAATTAATATAATTATTGTAAAACGAACAATATACTATTTATAAAATAAATTTATATATATTTTTATACATTAATTTTTTTTTCATATAGATGGATTTGAAAAAATATATCAACAAAGAAATTGAATATATTAAATATTTTTATTTAAAAGTTTGAGGCCGTGAGATTAACTCTCAATTCTCCGAATCCTCAAATTTGAGGTGGTAAATGTGACAAAATCTTTGGGTAAAAACGTAAGGGTGCACATGAATTAATCATAAAATCCTAGGATATGTTGCTAAATGTAATTATCTTTGAATATAAAATAAAATTTCAATAATAGGAACGTAGGACGAGGTAAAATACTTGCGTACCTACTTCTAGGTATTAGATTAGCCATCTAATCGAGTTTTCTTATTTAATTTTAGTTAGCCCATTTTATTCATTCATGTAAATGAATTGTGTGATCGATTTTTTGCTTCGAATATTGGGGGGAGCGAACGATTACTGACTTCCTCCACTTTTATTGGGAGAAGGCGATAGCCATCCCTCGCCCTCTCCAAAATTTGCGCCAATACATCTTATTTTAAGTTAAAATACTGTACTTCAGGCATTACTTTTTAATAGCAAAGATTTGTTAATACTTTGGTGGAAGGAGAATAAAGGAGGAGTACATATGAATATTAAGGCATTTTTCATATTTGTAATTGTAAATATAAACTATAATTATAATGATACGACACTTTTCACTTCCAAAATCCAATCGATACCTACTTGTCGAAGTCGGCCATCAGTCGAAGAAGTGGCTGTCATTATGGAAACCGCTTGGTGTGGCCAAGGTAAACAAGAGACCCGTAATTACCAGCAGGTGCAATACGGGACTACAAGATGTCCTCCCTAATCGGTTGCCCCTTCCTCGTTGAACCTACCGTCAGGAGAGCTATCTTTGACCTCTGCCTTTTCCGAGTCGGATTCAGCGACCTCAATTACAGAGGTTGAAGAACGCTGGCACCAGCAATAGCGCCGTGTAGGATCAACATCATCCTCGACTAAAAAGCTGGTTAGAAAAGGATAAACTGCCGCGTAGCTGACACTG